AGCTTAAAAGCAAACTGCACACGTGTAAGTGCAGCCAGGATCGGGAGACCATGTTGCAGCAAAATGCTCAAAAAAACCATCTAACTGGAAGAGACTCAAGACTTTCCCTTTTGCTTTGTAAAAGTGAAAATGGGACTTTAAAATGTGACATTTAAAAGATGATCCAGATGTGTCAGTTCACTCATTCCCGAGGTTGCTGACACACAGAACACACAATTCTTGCAGGAAAACCACCCTTGCGACCAGGAGCCTCTGCAGAGTTCTGGGGCATGTGCAGGCTCTTCCCACTCCCTGGCAGAGGCTGAGGGCAGTGGGAGAGAACCAGCAAGCTATAAAAAGCTTTATGTCTTACTTCCTTCTACAGCATCCTGAGTTACTGGTGCTCCAGCCCCCTGGGCCCAGGGAAGTTCAGATCATATCGAAAACTTGTGCTTTTCTAACCAGAGCTGCTGAAAACCCGGTGACGTCACTTGGACTAAGTCCCAAGCAGGCCCAGAGGGGCATCCTCTTTGTGTCCTGGGAAGATGTAAGTCACCTCATGAGCCACTTCTCCAACCTGGGTTCCAATGAGCAGCAAGCTTAATTTCCACCGCACCCCCAGCCCAAAGTGGCTGAGAACCCAAACATCCTGCCTGTCATCTTTGGGGCCACAGCACACCCAGGCAAGCTTTCAGGTCACCATTGAGGCTGCAGTTTCAATCAGTTTAAACACCAAGTGATGTCTAACCAGGTTGGCTAGGGTCCCAGAAAGCCACAAACGGAAGGTCCCCAGTCTAGTCATCCTGTCACCAAAGAGAAAGCTGAGGCCCAGAAGGCAAGGAGCTAGCCCAGTCTAGAGGGACAGAGCCAAAACTAGGAGTCGGGCCTAAGGCCTCCAAGGGGTGGGCTCTGTCCTCAGCGTAGTGTTTGTCCTGGTAGTCCCAGCTTCTGTGTACAGGAGGGTTTCCTTGTTTCTGTTTTTGTTTTTGAGTCAAGGTCTTGCTCTGTCGCCCAGGCTGGAGAGCAGTGACACAATCAGCCACCACAGCCTCGACCTGCAGGGCTCAGGCGATCCTTCCACCTCAGGCTTCCAAGTGGCTGGACTCGGGTGATCCTCCCACTCCAGCCTTCCAAGTAGCTGGGACTACATGTGTATGCCCCACCCTGGCTAATTTTTTTTATTTTTGTAAAGGTGAAGAATCACTACGTTGCCCAGGCTGGTCTCAAATGCCTGGACTCAAGCGATCCTCCTGCCTTGGCCTCCTAAAGTGCTGGGATGACAGGCGTAAGCTGCCATGCCTAGCCCAGGAGGGGCTGTTTGAATGCTCCCTAGAGATGTGCTCAAGCCTCCCGACCAAATCAGGGGCTTCCTCTTCTTTTCAGCCCTCTTGCTGCTTTTGTGCGGAGTGGGAAACAGGTGCAGCAGCCTGGAGACCCATCTGGAAGTGGTAGGGGCAGGAGGAAGCAGCCTCTCCTGCTGGAGCCTAAGAACCAGGGTCTGGCCCAGCACTCACTAAGGAGAAAGTTCCAAGGCCAAGGTTCTGAAGGGAAGTCGCATCCCACCCACTTTTCTTGGCTACCCCACTCTTGATATGGGCCACCGTATGTGCTTCTCATCTGAAATTCCCATCTTAAACTGGGCTCGGTGGCTCAGCCTGTAATCCCGCACCTTTGGGAGGCTGAGGTGAGTGGATTGCCTGAGCCCGCGGGTTCGAGACCCGCCTGGGAAACCTGGCGAGATCTCATCTCTACAATAAATCAAAAATCAGCCGGGCATGGTAGTGCGCACCTGTAATTCCTGCTACTCAGAAGGCTGAGGCAGAAGGATCGCCAGAGCCCAGTAGGTCAAGGCTGCCGTGGCTGGGAGCGGCCACTGCATTCCAGTCTGGGTGACTAAGTGAGACTCCAACTCAAAAAAAAAAAAAGAAATTCCCATTTTGAAAATGTATTTCTTTACACAATTCCTGGAGACTTGGATTGAAGGGAAATTAATTTATGGTGTACATTTTCTACATAAAAAGCAAACATAGGCCAGGCATGGTAGAGCACACTTATAATCCCAGCACTTTGGGAGGCTGAGGCGGAAGGATCACTTGAGCCCAGGAGTTTGAGACCAGGCTGGGCAACACAGCAAGACCTCATCTCTACAAAAAATCAAAATATTTGACAAGTGTGGTGGTGCATGCCTGTAGTCCCAACTACTCAGGAAGCTGAGGTCGGAGGATCGCCTGAGCCCAGGAGGTCGAGGCTGTGGTGAGCCATGAGCGTGCGGAGACAGAGCAAGACTCCAACTCAAAAAAAAAAAAAAAAAAAGATAGAAAGCAGCAAGCATGGATACTTTAATAGGCTAAGAAGATGGTTGAAATGTCGGTTATTAACCCCCACATTACTTAACCCGAGAGCAGGGTGGCTGTGGGACGTGTGTGGTGTTTCTGGCTCCCATCTCAGAGCCCAGGTGGAATGCCATCTGGCAGATTCTGTTGAGAGCAAGGGGTCGAGGGTTTTGCACGCGCAACACCTACACGCTCACGGGTAGAGATGAAAGGCTGCAGAAGTGTTTATTGAATACAGTGCCAGGTTTATAAATAAACTTATTTACAATTTCCAGAGTTGGTCCCCATCAGGGAGGTGTCACATCTCCAAACAGTCCATCTCAAGAGTTACAGACATTCGAGCACGTTCCCTTCTTGGGGAGCCTTTGGACAACAGGACTCCCACCATCCTCACTAGAGTTGGAGAAAGAGCACACACTCCACCTGGGCCACTACCTTCTCACCAGGGGATGCAGACAGCAGAGTTTCTGTCTCCTACGGGACAACCTCAAGGGATTAAAAAACAGTAACTGCCAGCTGGAGGGAGAGATTAAGACACATTAGTGGAACTCTAGTCACTGCCAAAGGATAGATATATTTAGGATATACAATAAATAATTCAAAGGCTTAAAGAAATCGAATGAACGGGTGGACTTGACCAGATTTACATTCTTTGTTAGGAAGGAACTCCACGGATGCTGAAGAGCTTTTCGTGAGCCCTTCCTCCGACAGGACACAGCAGCCTGGGCCCACCGGACAGCCATTCAGTACAATATTGTTACAGGTACAATCGGACATGCAGTTATAAAGAGAATATAAAAATATGTACAACAGCTCGTTTTCAATGTGTGTAAGTTGCCGAAAGACACCGATGAAAGTTTGCAAAAATTCTTTTGTCCAAAAATCAGAAAAAGCCTTTCTTGGCAACGGTGCATCAGAAACCCGGCTGAAGGATCGAGCCCTGTGTCTTGCTCAACACCCACCCAGATGGAGAACGCGGCTGTCTGTCCTTGGACAGAACAAGGGTCTGCCAAGGACTCAGCATTTCCCATGGCGAGTTGGCTAAAGCGGGATGCCAGGGACACTGATCACCTTATATATAAATGTATATATGTAGAGTCAGAAGTATTTGCAGGACCAGCTTCATGAGCACTGCCATGACCTAGCTCTTGCCTCTGCAGACCTGGCAGACTGCCGACACCCCGCCTCTGGGCTGGTCAGTCCCCCAGTGCAGGGGAAGGGCTGCAATGGACTCTGCCTCACTTCTGCTCCAAACCGGAACTTGGCATTCAGGTAGGGGGTGGTGGGGTTGTGATTCCTATACAGGATGCCGGCCAGACAAGAATCCTGTTTCAAACAGTCTTTTAGGACAGGCTACAGGACTGCTAAAATGGAGTCCAGTCAGCTTCTAGAAAGACATGAGGCTAAGTTTAAAAAAAAAAATTACCCCCTGAACCCCCTTTGAGACTACCAAGGAGTCACTGACCACAGGCCCAAGACGGATTCGACAGTCAGGCTGACATCTCCAAGAAACATCCATGACATTAACTTATTCAAGCCAGAAGCCTTCAGATCTCACCAAGAGAGAAACCCCAAGGATTCCTGGGCATTCCTTCCAGATCCAAGGAAGGATACTTTGACAGTCCATTGTCAGTCCCTTCTCTCCCAACCACCCAGACCAAGGACCAGCAGAAGCACACGGGCAGTCTCCTCTCCACCACTCTGACCCACCCTTCTGGCAGAAAATCTAGCAAGCTACAAAATGCCAGAAAGACGGGGAGCAGGAGAAGCCAAGGGTCTCTATAAATCAGTCCTGAACACACCCCTCTGGCTGCCAAGCGTTCCTCACTGCCTTGCCAGCGGCCTGCCGTCCCCAGCAAATTAAAACCTCCCACATTCCAAACCCAAACCTCCTTGCTAGTAAGATATAACCAGTTAACGCCCAGAAAGATGCACATCCAGCCTTCACTTCCATAAAGAGCTTGCACTGAACACACGATGCTGCTGAAGGGACTTCTGAAACGCACCAATCCCAACACAAAGACCAGTCCCAGCACAGAGGAGTTTGGGTTACAGGTTTATAATTAGACACAAAAATCACTCTGGGCTGGAGTTTTACTTTCAAGCCACAAGCCAGCGAGAGTTCTATTTGGGGGGGAGGAAGGGGCGGGAGGGAGAGCAAAGTCAAGTCAACTTGGGGAAAAATAAGTAAAAGGAGGCTAAGGTTAAGTATTATCATAAACTAGAAGTCATGACCCAAGGATGACTGTGAATGTCTTCTAGGCATGAAGAGACTGGCTTAGAAAGGTGACTACCACTTCTATCACACAGAGGATTGAATTACACACACACTAAATCAAGTCTCTTGCACTGTTAGTCTCAAGTAGTTACATAAAACAGGTCAGCAGCAGCACAAGTGAGAACCCCTAAATACATGCTGGAGAGAAAGTGGGTTTTGTTCCTGCATTAAGAGCTCTACTGTCTGACAAATCATTAGAAGTTTCTATGGGTTGGCCCCCTCCCCCTGTGAAGATGCAACTAGATCTACATGTACAAAACACGATGGAGCCCCCGGTATCTGCTTGCTCTTAGGTCCGGGGCTCAGAGGCTGCCATGGGGCCTGGGAGGGAGGGAGGGAGGCCCACACTGGCCCCCTCCAAGTGCCCCGTCCCCATTCAGATCTCAGCTTTACAAAGCATTTAACACCACTTTAAGTTAATGGTATTTTTATTGGAAAAAAAAAACAAAAAAAAAAGGACTAGCATTTACAACTTGGAATGGACGTAAATTGCCATCTCTCGAGCAGCCATGTTGATGTTGTGCTGAAGTCCACAGCCTACTCTGCAGCTCCAAGTCAGGGGTCAGAAGGTTTTAAAAACAGGGTCCAAGATGCTCCCTTGGTAACGGTTTCTTATTAAAAATGTGTCAGCGGTGACAGCCTCACACCTGTTTCACTCTAGAATGACGCTAAGCCAACATACATGGACATGCCACCATGGTGTGTCACCGTCACCGTGGGCCAGCGCTCGCAGAAGTGCAAGAGGACCATCTTACCAGCGGGACCAGTCTCAAAGGTTTAGCCTCCACCCATTTTTCTGCACATCATCCTGAGGTAAACCAATTCTCAATGTTTGTTTTCAGGAAACCAGCTACAACAATTTCTACTAAACAAATTGAGCTAGAACCCATTGGAATAGGTTTTGAATCGTTTCTTCGGTTTTCATTTTTAATACAAATGCCTGACTATGCTCGATTGTCAAGCTGCATGCATGAAAAACTGGCCAGCCCAGACAGTGTGTTAATTGTCAGCAAATGGAGCCGTAAGGGGTCCTTATCGTTAAGGTGGGACAAGTATTTATATTGGAAACTGATGTGTAGCTTGATCTCAAGGGGACAGGACCACCAACCAATACATGCAGATTTTGTGTGTGTGGACAGGAGGTACTTTTGACATTCAGTTTTGCTATATAGAAACAATGAATAAATGAACTTTTTCCTTTTTTTTTTTTTTTTGCAAGAGGTAAGTAAAAGATTCAATTTGATTCTTCTAGGGGGGAAAAAGGACTTGAAAGTAGGTCTTCATTTTGCAGTCATCATCTGTACGAATTCTGAAAAGACAAATATAATCATAACTTTTTGGTTATCTTCAAAAGCAGCTATATAGAACATAACATCCCTGCTGTGCATAGAATAAAGTCGGAGAGCGCTTCAGTAACCTGGTGTACAGACCCGAGAGATGAAACTATGGAAAACTCAGCCAGAGGGAGGCCACGTTTACCTTCATAGTTGACCTGTCCGTCTCCATCAATATCTGCTTCTCTGATCATTTCATCTACTTCTTCATCTGTTAGCTTTTCTCCTAAGTTTGTCATGACGTGACGGAGTTCTGCTGCACTGATGTAGCCATTGCCATCCTGTGAACATTTGGCAGTTGTTACTGACAGTGAGCCTAGGACTTAATCCCACCCTCTCAAGTTACCTAGCTCTGCTAACAGCAACAACCCTCCGACCTCCAGCCCCACACTCTTCCTACTAACACACACCATCAGCTACCGCAGAAAACACATGGGTTTTAAAAGTTAACAGGAATTAAGAGTCACAATCGGGAAAGCTCAAAATTCACCTATTCATCATGCCTGCCCCCACCTGACAAGGTACCCATGGTCAGGATACCCAGGACAGAGGCTCAGGCCACTAGGCTAACAGACCACTATAGCCTGCAAAAGTGACAGCAAGAAAAGTCCCATGGAGACACAGGATTACCTTGTCAAAGACTCGGAATGCCTCGCGGATTTCCTCTTCACTGTCTGTATCTTTCATTTTTCTAGCCATCATAGTCAAAAATTCTGGGAAGTCAATGGTGCCATTACCTCAAATTAGAAAACAACAAGCTCACATAAGACAAGTGCTCCATCCATGGAGTTCTCCAGTGACAACTGTGCAGAACCACCGTGCACAATGGCAAGCCCCTACTGGGATGAAGCGCGGCTACTACCTCACGGGTGCAGCCACCTACAGGCCCCAAACACCTCAACACTTTACAGGGCAACCCCACATGACTTCAACTAGCAATCAGCTGGGTGCGGTGGCTCACACCTGTAACCCCAGCACTTTGGAGGCAGAGGCAAGAGGACTGCCTGAGCCAGAGTTCAGACCAGCCTGAGCAACTTGGTGAGACCTCGTCTCTACAATAAACCAAAGTTAGCCAGGCATGGTGGTTGCACACCCGTAATTCCAGCTACTTGGAAGGCCCAGGTGGAAGGATCGCCTGAGCCCAGGAGGTGAAGGCTTTGGTGGTCATGAGCGTGTCACTGCACTCCAGCCTGGGCGACAGAGTGAGACTCCGACTCAAAAAAACAAAACAAAACAAACACTAGTCATCAGTGCCCCATCAGCACTTCAGGATGCAGAGGAAACCGCACACTCACAACCAGAAGGGCTGTCCCCTACCCCAGCAAGGGAGCCTCAAACTGGCTACTCCCTGAGCTTAGGAGGCCACTCGGGCCAAGCCTGGCCTGGCTGGTGTTGCCAGTGACATCAAGACACTGGGCCAGGGTTGCAGGTTAAGAGCATGCTGCACACCATGTTTTAAGGGAGAAGGAGATGACAGGGGCAGGCAGATAGACTCTGTTCCGCATGGGCCACTAAGGCCCCCCACAACTCTAGGCCACATGACATGGTTGCCTGTTTTGTTCCCCAACTCAGTATCTATTTTCCATTAAGGGAAAAGCTCAAAGCAGTTCACAGCTCAGACCACTGGCACTTAGGACATGGTATCAGGGAATCTGTTCCATGGCCAGTGTTCCAAATGACTCCGTCCCCAAAACTAAGGGAGAGGAACACCCCCAGTGCAAACCTCCAGATCAGTAGTAGAACATGAAATAAATGGGAAAAAACCCATTTATATAAAGTTACTCATTTTCACTAGCACCTTGCGATGTAACTCAGTCTCAAGTCTTTTCTGGCCTCAAACATATGAAGGTGTTACTGAAACGCACGCAAAACAAAAGTAATCGTTTGAGGTGCTATGTCACAATCATGCAGATGTCCCCAGGTGTCACCACATTCCCCGGTGCAAATGCAGGGCTCTGCAGGCCTAACTTCCCCCTCCCCCAGACAGCCCGAGGCCTGCCACGCTTCCCTGTCCCCAAACAGCTTCCCAGGGCCTACACAGAACACGGGCCCACGGGGCTGGTCACCCTGGCGAGCTACGGATTCGACTACAGGCAACCTTGTCCCCAAAATACTATGAAGGGTGGAAAGAGTCTTCAGAAGGGATGAGCTGGAAGCTCTGAGAACGGCCTTAGCCAAAAGCTCTGTTTCTAAGTGTTGACATTCCACTTCATCACCTTAGGGTACCATGTTGTTTAAACAGCTACTATCAAGTGAATCATCTAAACTTATCTATTTATTCATCTATTCTTAACTTACCTTTAAAAACTCACATTCTACAATGCTTCACAGTGCATACACCTCACACATACATATATACATGATTTATAAAAATACATTGGGGAGGTGCTTCAAAAATTTTACTGATGGGAATGAGCAGCCCACTGCATGGTCTAGAGGGCAGGTCTCCCACACTACTGGCTCTGTACCCCATGTGGCCTCCCCTCTGCTGGCCTCCGCAGATCTATGCCCCAAGTCCACGGGTGTCCACCCCCGAGCCTTGCACAGGCCTCTGCAACCAACACACCCCCACAGCTCCCATCCTCAGTGCCATGGCAACATTTAACATTGTGCGTCATCCACATCATCTGGGGTTTCTGCCCCTTGTCGAGACAACAGGCTTCAGAAAAAGCAGGTCTGCAGCTATCTAATTCTACTTCCCCTCAGGATTCAGTGCAAACTCACAGGCAGTTGATAAAGGATTTGAGCTCCAGGTCACGGCAAGCAGAAAGGACAACATGGTGGTCACACTCTAGACTGTGAGCAGCAGGCCACAGGCCCGCTACCATCTACGGTAACTGTCAAGGCCCCAAGGCACCCTCAGAAAGACCTGTGCACACTTGCTTGCCTCTGGGGACCTGAAAGGCAACTCCACAACATGTCTGAGCTTGAATCATGCAAGAGCGGCACACGCATGGCTCTGAGCCTCACCATCAGCATCCACCTCGTTGATCATGTCCTGCAACTCGGCTTCTGTTGGGTTCTGACCCAGTGACCGCATGACAGTCCCAAGCTCCTTTGTTGTGATGGTGCCGTCGCCATCTTTATCGAATAGGGAGAAAGCTTCCTTGAATTCTGAAAACAAAAGTGTACCCTTTAGAACGAGTGTCTTTACCCAACCCCGCCACAGTGCACATTTGCCTGGAGTTTGCCAACCAAGCTGCCTGAACACCAGAGACTGCCGGGCTTTAGCTACCAACACAGGGACTCCAAAAGTCCTGCTGGACTGGCCTGCACAAGCAGCCCAGGGGGCAAACACTGTTCGTTGTAAGCAGGCCCATGAAGTCAACATTCTCCCATTTTTTAGAGAAGGCCAAGCTGGAACACACTTAGGCTGGTCCTGAGTCCAGTCAGACATAAGACTGGCCCATGGGCTCCCTTCAAGTTCCTTCCTATTGGATCTGCACAGGCAACATGAAGAACCCCATTTCTCAGCCATATGAAAAGGTTCCTAGAAATGCATATACCCAGGTAACCAACTTATTCTATCTACCCAGCTTTCAAGAAATTTCAGAAGCACTCCTGATTTCCTAAAGAAATCTTCCAGGGAATACTAAAAAGCTAACATCTGCCGGGTACAGTGGCAAGAGGACTGCTTGAGCCTAAGAGTTTAGTTTAGCCTGGGCAATACAGCAAGCTGTCTCAAAAAATTTAAAAGCCTTAATGAATGTAATTCTCTTCTCAATAATTAACAGTGGTTCTGACATTCATCTTCACCCACACTACCGCATATTATGAAATAGCAGGCACAAGCTCTCAAGATAGATGACTGAAGACCTGTGGCATAAGAACTGAAAACTAAATTTCTGAGGAGCAGGCTCAGTGCAATCTAATTATATGCACAACTTGGCACACTGTGAGGCACAAATGCTGGGCCTTCTTCTTTAAAAAAAAAAAAAAATTTTATTTATTTATTTAATTTATTTTTGAGTTGGAGTCTCACTCTTCCACTCAGACTGGAGTGCAGTGGCCGCTCCCAGCCACTGCGGTCTCGACCTGCTGGACTTCGGCGATCCTTCCACCTCAGCCTTCCAAGTAGCTGGAACTACAGGCGCGCGCTGCCACGCCCAGCTAATTTTTGATGTGTTTAGAGATGAGGTCTCATCAAGTTGTCCAGGCAGGTCTCGAACCCGCGGTCTCAGGCAATCCACTCATCGCGGCCTCCCAAAGTGCTGGGATTACAGGCTGAGCCACCGAGCCCAGCCATTTATTTTTTAAACACAGGGTCTGGCTCTGCTGCCCAGACTGGAGTGCAGTGGTGTAATCACAGCTCATTGCAGACTCCAACTCCTAGGCTCAAGTGGTCCTCTCACCTCAGCCTCTAGAGTAGCTGGGACAACAGGCAGGAGCCACCACACCCGGCTGATTGTTTAATTTTTTGGTAGAGACGGAGTCTCGCTATGTTGCCCAGGCTGGTCTGGAACACAGGCATTCTTCCTGATTCTACTTCCTTCCATGTTATCTACAAATTGCCACAAAGAGAAGCAACTAAGTGTCTTGCTTATTGTTCTCACTTAAATACATTCTTAGAAAGCTGTTCAGGCCTTCCAGGAAAGGGAACAGGGGAGTCACCAACACGGAGTCAGTGCCTAGTGCTGCCCTTCTGGGGACTCTGCAGAGCTGTCAACTCACCAGCAATCTGTTCTTCGGTCAGCTGATCAGCCTACATGAAGAAAGAAAAGAGTATAATTCAATCCACAACAGTTTGTTGGCATCAACATAACTTTTCCACAATTACATTTTCAATACTGTGATCTTTCAAAAATCAATTTTAAAAATTTGGTCATTTGAAATCTTCCGCATTGTCATTTAATGAAAACAACTAGAGTCAGGGGAACCCCTTATGCTACTTTAACAAAGGATGACAAGGAAGTGACAACATGGGCTGGCTGCAGGTTCTCTTTTCTGGGCCTTCCACCTACAGAGTAACTCAAGTCTAACTGGTGAAGTTCACCATGTGAGAAATGGCACCTCTAGTGGCAAAAGGCCCGGCGCCACCGCACAGGCTCCGGGAAAGAGCGCCACCTACTGTGTCAGAGACACCACAGTCCTGTTCATCAGTCCCCTGTCTACCCAGCCCAAAGGCCACTGCCAGGATCAGGAGCCTGTCCAGGGAAGGCTTTGAGAGCACCTCGCACAGTGAGCGCCCGGAGCCCAAAATCTCCAAACTAGCATTATGTAACCGCATTGGGCAGGATTAACAGGCTTTCACATCCATTGTATGAGAAACAATTAAGTGGAAATCAAATACACAGCAACAGGGACCCACCAACCCATTTCACCATAATAAATGCTTTCCAATCCTTTAACTCAGGCAGTCCCTAAAAGCCTGCCATTACAATGGCTAAAGCCTGGGTCCAATTATCCTGGGATTCAGAAGCCAGGAGGGGAAAAAAAAAAAAGGAACCTTCTTACAAACAGGACTACAGACTGCAAAAACTAAGTACACAGAAAACCAGTGAGATGGTTTTCTGCATACACCCTTTCCTGGAGAAATAACTGTGAAACCACTGGAGAGCACAACCCTGCCCACCTGAATGAACAGCAGTCAGAGCACCCAGGATAAAACACTAGGAAGGCAGTGAGGCCACCAGGCAATTCTCACGTGTACCACGTGGGCCCGCACAGAACCTGCACCTCCAGCCAGGGGAATTCAGAGCTCACGGAGAGCTAGTATGTATTTTTATTTTAATGAAGGGCACCTAATGAAGTCAGCTACAAAACAAGTCCTAATAGGAAGCTGATGGTGTCCAGTTTACAGTCTAAATTGGAAACTTTCGCAGTGGGAATGGTGTTCCAACACATTGATTTTGGAGTCGAACCTTGTTTTCACAAAATTTAAGTGGGTCTTCTTTCCTTTCGACTGCAGTCACTAAAAATTGTTTTTCTTCAAGTTAAATGAGGATACACGATCATTTATGTAATGTCAGGGCAGTGTCTGTCTTGTACAACAGGAAGCGCTGCCACCCCTCGCTAGAGAAACTGTTCCCCTAAGGGCAAAACAGTACCACCTCGCCGCCAAACTCGCGTTACCAGGGCATCGCCTTCCTCGACCACGCAATGCCCCTACCACTCGCGATGGCCTTAGGGGACGAAGGTGTGCCCCAGCCGGGAGCCACCTCTCCACCCCGTCAAACCAGAACGCGCAGCGGATGATGTCAGCTCTGACCGGCGAGGGAGGAAGGGGCCGTGGAAAACACACCCAGCGCGGCGCCCAGGCGCATCTGGCGAGCTAAGGCTGCAGAGAAGGCGGAAACGAGGGGCATCTCCCTGCGGACTGGGAGGGGTGAGGGGCCAGGGTGCGCCCGAGGGCAGGCGGCTGGCGAGGCGGTCCCAGGGCGCGTGCGGAGGGCGCCACCCCTCCTCGGCCGGGCGACCCCCGCTCCCAGCCCTCAACCCCCA